TCCGTAGCGCTTCAAGTCCGGGGCCCTCGCCCGGCCCGCGCCCGCGCAGCCCGACGCCCCGCCCGCAGACCCGCCGGCCAGGGCCCGCCCGCCCGGCGACGACATCTACGCGCACCAGGACCACGCCGTCGCACACCTCACCGCCGCGTACGCACAGCGCCGCCGCGGAAGCGGGAAGGCCGACGCGCTTGCCGCCGCGTCCGCGCTCGAGGAACTGCTGGCCGTGGCCGCTGGCATCGCCCGCAGTAGGGCGTCCGTGTCCAGCCGCAGCCCGCAGCTCATTTCTGACCTGGTGTATCGGCTTAAGAGGGCCCACGTCCCGCTTAATGCAAAGTTTTATAACATCCTTATGTGGAGCTATGTGTCGGCGTCCGCGCCTCGGAAGGCCGTCGATTTGTTTCAAGAGATTGACAGCCCAAACGTGGAATGCTTTACCACGCTCGCGAAGGCGTACTCCATCATGCGCAAGCCAGACCAGGCAATCGCTATCATTCCGAAAATGCGGAGACAGGGTGTACAGCCGAACATACGGACGTACAATGCCCTCATTGCGAGCTGCGTGCGCGGCGGCAAGCTGGCAAAGGCTCGGCAGTTGTTTTCGGAGATGCTGGTCGATGAGATACGCCCGAACGCTGTTTCGTGGAACATTATCATCAATTGGCATGTCCAGCAAAACTCTGGGCCCAAGAGACTCGCCGATGCACTCCAGGCTTTTTCAGACATGAAGGCGAGCGGCGTGTCGCCTACTGTTGTTACTTTCACTACAATTATGAAGGCATATGCGAAGAGCGGCCTGCTGAACAAGGCTGAGGAGGTCTTTGCAGAAATTAAGCAGAGCCTTCCCGTCAAGGTCGACACCAATGTCTACAACACCCTGCTAAGCGCGTATGCGTCCAAACTTGATTGGCGACGCTGTCTGGAGCTGTTGGATGAGATGGACGGCTTTTATGTCTCAGATGGCCTGTCGTTGACGGGAAGACTTGGTCGCGAGGGGGAAAATGACGACGTGAAAAGTGTCCCGAGTCACAGCCAGTCGTTCTCCACACGTCGACCGTGGTTGAGTGACGATGAAGAGGGAGAGAGTTTTGGGAGTGGGAGTTCACAAGGAATACCCTTCAGCGCCCGTCTTCCTGACCTAGATGATGAGCACGAAAGGTGCAAACCAGATGAAATCAGCTATTCTCTGGCGGTTAAAGCTTGCGCATCCGCGGGCCGCCCAGATATAGCCAGGGAACTTTTTGATGAGATGATGGAACGAGGTTTCTACCCCCCACCAAGCCCAGCTGTGGTCTCATTGATGGCAGGATACGCGAAGATTGGAAACCTAAGTGAGAGCTTTGCCATTTTGAAAAGCTTAAAGTCTTGGGGGGTGTTTCCGGAAGAGAGAATGCTAAGCTCGCTCATGCATGGCTGCCTGATGGCTGACCAGCCATCACTGGCGCTCTCCGTGTATGCCAAATTCAAGTCTGCAAAGTATTCTGCGGATGTCGTCACTCACACCCTGCTGCTGAAGTCATACGGTATGTTGGGAGAGCTGGACAAAGCCTTCAATGTATTGAAAGGTATGAAAAGTTCAGATCGCGTTGCGCAACCTAATATTGTGACATACAACACTCTGATAGAGATTTGTCTGCGAAGTGGGAGGCGCGATTTTGCATTGAAAGCGCTTGATCTCTTGTTGGAAGACAAGCGCGCCGTGCGTGCCATAGATCGCAACACATTCGCCGCTCTCTCAGTGCCTGTCCTGGATGACTATGACTCCGCCGCTGAGAAAAGTAGTGGACTCGGCGGTATTGGTGAACCTGCTTTGTATGGAACCGACCTGAAGGATGGGAAAGACAGGCCATTGGCTAATATCGAAATCGACCCGCAGAGAGACCTAGAGTACTTTGTGGATGTGCTGAAGAAAATTCGAAACGGGCCAGCCTACCCCAGTGGGACATTCTACAGAGCGTTTTTGATTACTTGTGAAGCATGCGAGGAGTGGGATCTCGGAGCTCGGCTGGTGAAGGAAAGAGAGATGGGAGATTTTGTCGTCGGGAAGCGCGACCGTAAGATGATCCGAGCACTAGAGGACGCATTTCGAGCTAGGTCAGTCTCTGCGACTTGATCTTAGAGACCCCCCCAAATGTGTGGGTAGTGGATTAGCCTGTCGCCTATCTGGTGGTGTGGTGTGATACTGTAGTAGAAAATGTGAAGTCTACTGGTGTCGCAATGGTGGTTGTTCAGAGCCAGGCAAAACCATGGCCCGACAGGAGACGCCTATGAATGGCTGAGTTTGGCGCCTGTTGACATATTTATCGTAGATCTTTAAACTATCGTAGTTGACGTACAATAGAGACCCTTAAATCTCTGCTGCTCCCTCCCTCGTCATTCCGTTTAAGAGAAGTCGGTAGCTTGTTGCCGGACACGGGTGACAGCCATTTTTCCGTAACTCTGGTTTCTTGCCCCCCATTGTCGATGTGA